CTTTTTTTTTTTTTTGTATTTATTTATAAATAGTTAGGTAGCCCCCGCTTCACAAAGTCAAACATATCTCTTTGTAAATTTAAGGCGTAATGGTTTTCTCGCCACTTAAACTTGTAGGGCTTTTAAAAGCCGATACATGAACTTGCACTTTTCTCATTTAAACATTTCAACTTGATGCAATAGATACTAATAAATACATTTGACCGTTGACTATGCCTATACATGGAAGCGGTGCAGTTGACATGGCTAAATTGTGTGCAAATCACGCTACAAAGGTGCGTGGATTGTATTATTTTTATTAAAAAAATATGAGAATCGAAATAAAATATAAATGAGACCAAAAAAGAAAAGAAAAAAAGAGACCTTTCCCTTTTCCCTTCTCTTTTCCCCTCCCTCCCAGCGTCTGACGTCTTCCCCACCAAAAAAAATCGTCCATGCAGTTTGTTGCATCCATTTTTGCTCTCTTATTCTCTACAATACTTCCTTTTTCTCTCTCTATATATGTAAATTTGCACCTGTATAATTGTATCTATAAATCTTTGTTCTATTTATCTTCATCGGAACTATAACCCGCCACCGACCACCGCCGTTATTTTTTTAACAGTGTTACTTTGACCCACTTTTTTTGGCTTAAGATTCAGTTCAAGATTCTATAATTTTATGCTCATTTGCATATCTAGTGCTGGAGTTATTTCTTTTTATTTTTTTTAGTTTCTTGGGGTTTATTTGATCTGGGTCAGTTGATTTGTTAACTGGTTTTTTCTTAGGGTTTTGGTTGATTTAAGAGTTGATTAATAAGATTTGACTGCTAAAAAGTAAAGCAGAGAAAAGAGTTTACAGGAGAGGTAGCCGACAGTGATAGAGATGCTGGAGATGGTGGTGAAACGGAGGTAATCGAGGGTGTTGAAATTGGCAACAGTCTTAGTAAAAGGTGGGTTTCGATCTATAACTAGGTATTCCGGCTTTGCCAATGTTGTTATGTTTGTGTTCATCTTCCCTATTAGCAGTTGCTCTTTTGGCCGGTCGCCGGCGACGGGACGCTAAGATGGTTTTTAATCGGAAAATGCAAGTGTCAGTAGTTGTATATGTTCATCTTTGCTATAATTGTGGGTGACTGATTAATACATGTGTCAAAAAAAGTGAATGAATGGATGATGTGGCTATGTAAAATATTGAATTAAATCCATGTCAGCAGCAACTGAACAACATACATTATTACAAGTGTTTATTAGTAGCCATTTTTTCAAGTAAAGGTGTTCGAATGGGAAACCCAAGAGTCTATATATCGGTTTTACAAACTGATGCAAGTTTAAGTGGCCAGGAAGCTATTATCTCTTTAAATTTAATTGAGTTCATAAATAAAGTAACTATTATCTCTTTAAATTTAATTGAGTTCGTAAACAAAGTAACTGTTATAAAATAATAAAAGAAGAAGAAAGTATTGCAGAGAAAAGTATAGAGAGAGAATTCTTATTGATTTGGGATGAATAACAATGGAATAGAACCCTTTAATTATAGAAAAAAATGACTTAGCCACTAAGTAACAAACCCTAAAATCTCTCTAAAATATAGACATTCACCATAAATAAAATATTATTTATAACACTCCCCCTTGAATGTCTATTTACCAGATAATGTGCCTCGTTAAAACCTTAACTAAAATAAAACCCAGTGAAAAAAAATTCTAGAGAAAGAAAAAGAGTACACATGTTTAGAAATAGACCTTTTGATTGCCTCGTTAAAACCTTGCAAGGAAAATCTAGTGGGACAAAACTTTGTAAGGAAAAAAGAGTACAGGGCGTATTAACTCCCCTGATGAGAGCATCAATTCACATCCTTGAGCCTTCGCATTCCAATCTTGTGCACTATCTTCAAAAGATCGTTGGTAGAGATTTGATAAACAAATTAGCCATATTAACTTGAACGAATTTGTTTCACCTTGAAATCATCATCCCTGATAGATGTATTATCTTCATATGATCTTGTTGGAATCGTCATTTCAATATCTTCACATACGGGCAAAAACTCTTGCTATCATATTAACATGCGTATAGTTATAACAAGATACATTTGTACACAAATTGCACTGAGGATGTGTTACTTCAATATCAAGAATTATATATGCTCTAAGCAATTTAAATCTTTCAGGGATTGCCATATATATAAGTTAAGTCCTATAAGCCAAATGAATGGACTTTAGATGCACATCGACTTTTATGTCATGCAAGACATATAAGATAGATAAAGGTGATTACACACACCATTGACTTTATACTTTCAAGCTTTTGAACTGCAGGTCCAAAACTATACGTCTTTCATATGAAACAAATTCTATTCGAATTTTGTCTCTTCCATTTGGCCAATATTTTTGTGTCTATATTCGACAGACTTGAGATCCTCATCTATACTTAGCGCTATTATAGATGTCGTCGACGAACAATTTATATCGGTACCAACCTCCTTATTTTTCATAAAGACATAACATAGAGATCTTTTCATTCATATATTCAGGTACCTGAATCTCTCATGAGATTTTATGAAGTGTTAGGTCATGTGATCTTCTAGATCACTTGCTTCCTTTATTATGATCATTTTCTCATCTTCTTTATCAAGAAGTTTATTTGAAACCGATTTGTCTATATGCTTTAAGCGTACCATATATAGACTTTTTTCTTCTAGGACTTATTCTAATAGGAGCATTTGTAGTGAGAATATAGTTACTTTCTTTGAGGCAGCAAATGCGTCTGTCATGCTTTGCAATATACTGTAGATGAATTATCTTTTTATGAACTTCAAGTTCATATTATCTTATTTGAGGATCTAGATGTACAAATGATAATTCATTTCACGTAACGTTTTCTCAAATGTTTATCTTATCTCCCCCTCATGTTAGAAAAACTAACTTGCTTCCTTAAGTTTGGAAACCTACATTTGTGCGTTATGATGTTAATTAAAATATACACCGCACATCAATAATAATAAGATGAGATTATTCGGTTCCTGACCCTGAACCACTTGTGAAGAGAGAATATAATATACTTTCGTATATAACGTATATCAAACTGATAAAGATAACTCTGTTCTCATAAGCAATAGTTTAGGTATTAAGTGGAGGCACTCAATAAATAATTTTGCTAAACCAACTGTGATGTAAACCATCTTATCAAGATGAATGGTCTTGAATAGAAAATCTGGAAATTAAGCTCGAAATTAAATTATTGAGCAAGTTACTTCGCAAAACACCATGTTGCGGGTTAATAATAATAGCACATGTTATCATCTCATAGATGCATCTTATGTGGTATATATCGCAGATGAATGGGCCCATATTTACCTTCGATATTTTCAGCATTCATGGGATTCAATCCCAATTTTAATTGGTCTATTAATTAATAAGAACAGAGAATTCGTAAAGAACTTTCCAGTTCTTTAATATTTATCCATGTGAATTCTCTATTATTTTTGCACATCATACTTAAATTAACATGGCTAAACCAGTTATACAAACTGTATAAATTATTAATATTGATAAACTTTAGGTTTACACCATGACGTGTGCAATTATCAATAAAATTCAAGTTTATTATGATATGGATTTTTATATCAATAAACTTCTACTTTATTGTGGTATTGTGTGTGTATGTGTGTATATATATATATATATATATATATATAAGTAACTCACATGTTTACAGGAGAGAGATTTTCCTTTCGGAAAACCCGAAAAAGTTTACTGGACTTGGGAATTAAAAACATGCACACATAAGCATAAGGATTTATTTATTTTACAGGTTTGAGGTAGGAACTGCTAAGGCATTCATAAGGAAATATTTTACAAAGGTATTATGTTATTACTAATGCTGTCTAAAGTAATATATATTATTTGGTGATGGAAACTTATGTATTTAGTTAAAATATGTTATTTCATTAACTTATTGGTCCGAAAATCTTCTAGCTCTGATACTAAAGAAAGACAAATTAAAGATAGACTTATAATCTTCTTCTTAGATGGTATGATTGATGATATGATAGTATTAAAATTATCAAATGCAGTTGTTTTCTGTATATGTCTGAATAAATTATATTATTTTGTTCTAGGTATATAGACTTCAAACATTTCCAGAAATCTTTCTTGTCTAGCCTTGTAGGGTACTTCATTGAGCCCCATCTTCACATGGCTTGAGCAGAGATTCCCTTAGTGTTTGTAACTATTTCTTCCACTCAAAAATTCTTGTCTGGTAGCACTACCTTTTGTCACATCTTCTATTCAACTTGTCTTGTAGCTCTTCTTTTTATCACATCTTCTTTTCTTTATGTCACTTCTTCTTTTTGAATTGTCTCCCACATTATTTCTCTTGATTTTTCTTGTCTTTGTTGCTCTCAATTGCTTCTGACTGAGACCTTGCTCTCTATATATATCTGTGCAGTACAATTCTTGGAGAATAAAGCGGGTAGCTTTTCACATATATATTATCCCGTTACAAGTTGTAGTAATAGAAGATATTAAATCTTTCCTTTATTTTTAGTCTCAATATAACCAACCGGTTTTGCGAATATTTTAGAAACTAAATAAGTTTCTTTGAGACTTACTACGTAATAATACCTTATCGATAATTAATTTTATTTCTCCAAAATAGTATAATTGGCTCTTCTAGAGCTTTCAATTAATTTTGAACTACCAAATATTCATCAACAACCATATGGTGAATATCTTTTTCAAGGAGAAAGTTAGACCATTATAGTTATGGTCAAAATCATTATAGGCAAGATATGTTATTTTCATTACTTATGCCCTGTAATAATAATATTGCAATAATACTATGGGCATAATCACAATAGGTATGTTATCAATGACCATTCATGC